TTTTTCACATTTTGATACTTTGTGTCGATACGTATGCAGCAGCCATTAAAATTAACTTAAACACATCGATCGTGACCATACACCTTGTATATTTTTCTTGGAAATTTGCGCCTAATCTCCCATCGCGCAATTTCGCCATGTGAAGGGGCCGATTTATTGGTTATTAATTGTACACGTGTCGTGTATAGCGACGCTTTTTGGTTTCGGCCGTGTTCTTTGTGAAGGGAGCTGCCGCTTTTGCGGATTGTTCAACTTAAAATATCACACACGCCCGATATCACCGATACAGAATTCACACGTCATGCTCACATGCATACATCAACGATTTCTCCTCTTCCCTCACCTCCTTTTTTGCGGAACAACGTTACGATTGGTATCGGTTTATTTGGCAATGATCCCGCGACAGTGTATGGTTTATACGGCATTTCAACTTTGTAGGCGTAAGAGAGTGCGAGTCGTTCAGCAACGATTCGGCACACCTGATTAAGAGCGAGTACAAGATAAATACATATTCGACATTTAAAATATACGTTTTCGACTCTCGACTTTCCTTCCTATTCTTGTGTTTGCCTTCATGAGTATCTATGCCATATGCGCGCAGAGCACATATACAAATAACTATGTCTAACTGCCTACGCGATTTATTGTAATTTGCGCTGTCATATTTTAGAATATATAAAATTTACTTTTTGAAAATTTTAAGTCTTAGTATTTTCAACCTTCGTCTAAAGCAATGCATTTGTCATAATATGGAAAATTATTAAAAATTGCGAAGCAAACGTGCCATTTTTTTCTTGCAACACACAATGATAGCGGTTTTTTTTTTATGAAATATATTTTCTGACCATTAGTAACAATATATGTAAAATAAGGTGGCCACGTTCCAAATTAGGAGAGATAGACCTAAATTTTAACTCTTTGTTCCCACTTTACAACGCGTCCTAAATTTGATCTAAATTAAGGACATAATTATGAATTGTCCCTCTGTTAAAAAATAAAATATGCTCTCGTAACTTGAAGTGCGTTCCATTTCACGCATAGTGCACATAATATATTATTTTATCCTAGTTGTTTACCGAATATTAAAGAAAGATAAAATGATATATCATACGCATCATGCGTGAAACGAAACGCAGTCTTGATGTAATTTTTGTGATCTTACGTTATGCATTAAGTTACCTATTATTAGTATTAAGTACCTATTATTTACAAACATAATAATATAACATTGTTCATATGTGTTTTATTAATAATTATAAAAGATATTTATGTACAAAATTTAATTATGACAATTAATATTGATTTTTTCTAATGTCTCTCCCTTCTTGAAAAATTGGTCACTTTGATACAAAGGCACGCAATTACGATTTATATCTTTTGATGTGTAATAAACTGACTTATATAATCATATATCCATCGCAACGTTGCGCTGAAGTTTCAAGCTACGATTTCGAAAGTCTAATTTAGAAGATGATCGAGTAACAAATTAAATTTTTATTTCTTGTCGATTAGAAGCACATATTTGCCTTGAAACATGAAATTTTTACAGCATAGTATATTTTTGGAAATTTTGTAAAATTAATAAAAACATCTTTCGCGAAACTAATGGTCGATAAATGATCGGTTTAGTTACATAACAATTACATATTTATATACACATACATTGTATGCACGCACACAATGTAGCACGTATAAAGCTTATACAACAATAGAAAATATTTTTGTATCAATAAATATAATTAAAAAATATAAATATAAATTGATATGGTAAATAATAAAAATATAGAAGATTAATTATGCTACGAAAAAGGACGTTTCATAATTTTACGCATTTTGTTTGTTTGCTATTCCTATGTTTATATATATATAAACATACGAATTTATATATAATGTATTTATTATAATATATTTGAATATCTCTCCTATTATTTTTGTATGACATATGCTTCTAATTATTTTAATATATCTTTATAATTAATTAGCACACAAATATAACATAGAAAAATAAAATAAAACATAGAATAATTCATGAATTGTTGCTTTTTATTCTTTAATTTTCGTCAACAAACGCATAGCCACAGGTCGAGATATTTATATGAAAATCTATATATATATAATATGAAAAATGTTTTCAAGCTTTAGTTACGCTGCGAGATCATGTCCAAGCCCTATGACAGGTATTTGATTTCGCAGCAGTATTCAAAGATCAATCGGATAGGCGTAAATCGTATCTCCGGATCATCCTCGACCAATTCTGAGAAATTCGATTCTTTATGGAAGTATGAGGAAGTACTTATGCTCATATGTTTCTAAATCCAAAGGAATCCAATGCGTTGAGCGCCGCACGCGCCCTTTAGATAACACATAGAATGAAACTAGCAGTCCGATCTTTTCGCGGTCTATAGAGTCGTTCAAGATCATATCGCAACGAGCGAAAACCTAATGGCTCACGCGAGATGATACATGCCGCTGCAAAAAGCTTCCCAGATATACACTTCCTCCCGGGATACTATCTATAACGTGAATAACACTGTGCAATCGAAAGCTTGTATCGCGAGATTACGCAGGCCAGATTAAACAGCATCCCTGGATCGTGCGCGAGAAGGTGTCGATGGATCAGGTAAATCGAGATCTACGGATCTCGATCTTATGCGCAAAATTTAAACAGAATTAGAGAAATTCTTGTCGAACTTCCTTTTTTCTATTTTCATTTTCGTTTAATATTATTAGTATTATATACACTTTCTAAACATAAATAAAAAATACAAAATAGGATTTTGATATAAAATAATTAATGTAAATTTTTAAAAAATATACAAGAAAAGAAGAGAAAGGGAGAGAGAGAGAGAAGTACAAAGTTTATATGGATCATATATCTATAAACTATAAAATATATGAAATATATTGAACTATATATACGTATACAATAATTAAAATATAATTAAAAAAATCTAAATATGACTAATAAGTGAAAAACAGGAAAAATGTGTTATTTAATAAATAAAAGAAATTACTGTCAAACACCGAATGATAAATAATAGCTATAAAGTTATTAGGTTTTTAACAGATGTGTTTAAATATAGTAATTAAAATCTACTTAAAAAAAACACAAGTGCGTTGTAATACATAGTTTTAAAAAATTACATGTTTTCCCAGTTCTGATTTTATCTTTAGAATATCTTATCCAATTATATTATCGATTGCAGCGCTGCAATAACACAATCTACATATATCATGTCATAGTTTAGGTTTTAAAGATTACATTCCTCAATCCGTTGAACTATGTATAGTGTTTGTATTTTACAATCTATTTGTGTTCGCGCCGATTATATGAGATTTGCATAGTTTCCGCCTTCTTGTTATGAAACTATGGAAAGCTATGTTCATCTCTTTTTGCTGTAATAATCATTGCCCTTGTTTTGCACAAAAAATTTTTAAATGATTATTGCGTTTTATTCTCACTACATTGCTCTTTAAAATTAGTGGAAACCGCGTTAAGATTGATTTATTAGTAGAAGAAATAAACGTGGATTAATTATATTTATACAGGAATTGAAACATTTAATTGTATTTTTTGTTATACTTATTATATTCATCGTTGTTTCATATTACAATTAATAATAATAATAATATAATAATTATAATTATATATTACATTAATATTGTATTAACGGTATATTAATAATTAACTGCTATGTTCAATAAATATATATTTGATCTTTTTAGATTGTTTGATATCTTTTTTATCTTAATTGCTATCATTAGACAAGAAAGTCCAAAGTAAAAAAAAGTATACATTTATATGACACGATTTTTTTCGATTATCACATAGTCTATACGAAATTAACAAAAGTCAGGAAGTTAATCTGGAAGCTACCCAAAATTAATGAAACAGATGCGTTTGAAATAAGTACGTTTTCTAATCACATGTAGATTTAATCTGATAGAAGGAATTTCCGTACGTTACTGTGTCTGTTACCATGTTAGTTACCATGTAATTTCGGTCCGTTCTGACTAATGCGCGATGCTTAACCCTTTCGCATCAGATGCAACACGTGATGTGTGTGACGTATCTCTTATCTCGAATGGATCGGATGTACGTTGTACCTAGTCTGTAATTACCGCCATGAGAAGTGAATCCTTCGCTGAGCGACTGTGCGCAGATCTTGTAAATGGAAGGAGATTCATTTTCTTCTGTTTTACCGCGAAGCTAATTGATTAACCTTTTGGGCTCTCCTAGTAGCAAAACTTAACACGATATTACAATCTATTTTAGTATAGCTATAAACAGAAAATTCTTTGTGACGTCCCAGATATCTTTTACGATAAATAAGAAATTTAACTTTGCTGAATATCGGCGTTTTTGTAAAAAGTGTATCTCAATTTTAAAAAAAATGATATTTATTTAAAATCGAAACATCCGTGATAAAAGATTGATCTCTCTGTTGATTATGTAAAAAGTCATAAAGTCGAAAAAGTTTCGAAGATTTAACGAATAATGCTTATACGGAAAGAACGTACAGTTTTACTGAAGTATCTCAAGATTTAAATAAATATAGATCTGAATATAATTTTGTTACACTATCAAAATAATTATGTAGAAGACTCAAGCATGATGAGCAATGCAAAAAAGTTTTGATTTGCAATTTAAAAGTTTTAATTTAGTCACCCTAATTATAATTATTTTGAATCGAACGAAATTTATTTTCAAATTTGTATCTATTTAACCTTTCAAATATTTCAACAAAGCCATTCTTTCCGTATAGAAGTTTTGTATGTCCACGCAATTTGGTTTATTAACAAAAGTAACAATTTGCTTATTATAGTATTATTATAGTATATTTATAGTATATTTGTAGTATTTATAATATTATTATAGTATATTTATAGTATATAATATATTTATAATATTCTCAATTTTTCCAACGTCTCTTTAACACTTAATAGAATTATAAATCTTTACTGCAGAATGTAATTGTAATGTTTTTTTTTCTTCATAGGACCGTCTGACTGGTCATGGGGGCATCTCCTCGCTGGGCGGCGGGAATTCGTCGCCCTATTCCGGTGCCCATCACCACGGACACCGGGGAAACGGAAATGGGGGCGGTATGCCCCACCACGGGGGCGCATCGTTGCCAACCGCCTCCGACTTCCAACCCCCTTACTTTCCACCCCCGTTTCCTTCGCATCATCACGCGCCCGCTAGCCCCCAGCATCCCGGTCTCGGCCAACCGCAACACCTGGATTACCTCGTCGGTGATCCTTATACGCAAACGCTCAACACACTACACCAACACCACTACAATCACCTGAGCGCTGCCGTCACCGCGGGCCAAAGAAGCGGTGATCTCAGGAGAGACGCCGAAGGGATTCACGTGGTAAGTGCTAAAATATGCTTTCACGTAGAGTGTAGAGAATGCACCAAGGATATCGCAAAAGGATTCCGTGGAAACTTAAATCAATTATTAGATTCTTATCTCATAAAGACAGCTAATATTCTGATCTATTGTTTTAATAATGCATTTGGAACATATTATAAATTATAGCGAGATTTATATATACAGAAATTAATGTTTAAATCAATTCTTAGATCTCTGGTTCATAATAAACAGCCATGTATTATTCTAATAATGCATTTGGCGCATTATAATGTGGTTTAGAAAAACTTAAAATGTTCTTGAAAACTTTCCAAGAATAAATTATTATATTTTTGAAAAAAGTGCCCTTATGCCCTATAAAATAAAAAAAAATACGTAATGTAAAATATGTAATTGTAAAGAACAAATTCGCGCGAATCTAAAAAAATTTTAAAAATCACCACGATAGGGAATGATGTTCTATAAAAAGGAAGATATCATTTGTGTAAGTTTGAAGAAATTTTATGTGAAATGAACATTATTTGTTTTGCGGATGAATCAAATCGATAATGTCTAACGACTCAGCATGAATAATCTAACGAGGCACGCGCTACAAGGCTACCGATACTCGTATAATTAACTCTAAAATATAGTCAACTACAAAAAAGGATATTATATAGCCTGATAACATACGCGAACGATTCGCATATGAATTTTACATTCTTTAATCCTTTGACCTATCATAATTATTTGTTCAGCGGCTTACATAATCCATATACAATCTTACGCGCTCTTCCAACAGACGCCAATGTCATGCGTTACATTAAACATTCGAGACTTGACTTTTTGCGTTTATATGTCTGCATCCTTTTTATACTTTTTCTCGCGTTGGTGCAAGGATCGCGACAGTTTCGCTCATTACCAACAACTATTATAGCTACACACAAGCGAGCATCTTTTAAACTTAAAAAAATTAGACACTTTTACTTTTTGTTGCAAACTCGAAGTCTCAGTCGTGCCAGAAAAAAAACTTGCATTCAGTTAACATATTTATTGTCAAAAAAAGAAGGCTTCGTGTTTATTTTTTTTCCGAAGGATCAAAGGATCGTTCGCTAATTGCGCATCTTAAATTTAGCAACACTGATAATGAAGAGCTGAACACAGATAACACACAAGAAAAATCCCAACGCGTGTTTGGGTTGCACTGAAAAAAAATTAAATTTGGTATAACATTCCTATATTTAGTATTAATATTTATTTGACTAATTCTATGTATATATTTATTAAACATATGTATATTTATTTGATACAAAAAATACATTAATTTAATTTAAAACCTTTTCTTTATTCAGTAAATATTTATTTAATGTAAGTAAATATTTACTTAATATTATTCAAAGAAATATGTACATGATGTGAATTTTGTTTCAGTGTAAGTTTCCAATTATCCAAATTTGATGTTATATTTTATAAACACCATATTATAAATTACAAGCATTATATATATATGTAAAAATATGTATGTGGAAACATATAGAAATATGTATTGTAAGCATCCGAAAGGAACTAAATGTGCTTGAGAATGCGGTAAAAAGGCCAGATTTCTTGTACGCATTGTTGAATAACGTGATAAGAACTCGATTCATGTAATATTCAAATCCGTCATTAATTAAAATAACGATCACCGTACTAACGATGCCGTAAATTTAACGGCGTTCGGCCGTGATTCTCGACAAGTTTATTTATATGTTATTAAATCTGCAATGCGGGTATTTATACAGTAAGGGAAAAATTGCAAGCGGTGTTTCATACGGTTAAGAAATTAGAACTTAATTTGTCGTATGTAAAGATGCAACATTTAAAGTATTCAATATATAACACCCACATTGTTTCATTAAATAACAATTATATGAATTATTATCTGAATTATTGTATATTATGCATAATTAATTACGTAATGTATATATACTATTATATATTCTTTTTTTTTTTCAAACATATGCCGAAACAATAAAAAAATAAAAAGTTTACTTTTTAATCATATATATATATATATGAATTATAACATACTTCCTTTATACAAGCTTTTCGTACACGCAATTAAATTTTAATCTTCGGCTTCGTCAAGACTTACAATTAACCGTGGTCGATCATTACCGCGAAGGAAGATCGTGTCTTTAACAAATGCGATGTAAGCGGCGTGTAATCTTAGATTACGCGATCCTTCCTCATAGATCTGGGGAGGTATCCTGAATACCGCGCGCGGAAGCATGGAAATTGTGGTGCCACGTATGTACAGCCAGTACCGCGTTCACGTAGAAGGGAATGAAAACTGGTGGAGATCCGGTCACGTGTATCATCGGTATCCGGCCAGCTGGATACCTTATTAGCAAAGTACCCAGCGTTGTTATTTGTAGGACGCCGCGGCATATCTCCGCGACGTGTGTTCGCGGGGTGGATGTAATGACGGGCGTGGTATCGATCTATCAGGAGAGTCGCGGCCAATAAGTCGTCGTCCCCGTGACATCGGTGATTGCGATCGTCGATCTGCCGCGAGCAAGAAGAGGGACAGGACTTTGTGGCCGCGATACTCGCGCGACATTTGCATTTGCCACGGTGCGGAATTGTCTGCCCCGTGTAATGCACCCTACGTGGCTGGAAATCATGCCAGACGAATCCCGACCTTCGTAAACCTACGTCCTTCGAGTCTCTCTCGCGCTCCACAAAATTGTACAGGATGATATTTTGTACGCGTCTTAGTCCTCGGAGATATATTTGAATTAATTGTCGCATGAAGAACTTTCACGAAGAACTTTCGTTTATTATGTGTGTTATTTTTCCATTTAAATAAGTTCATTTCTTAAATAATTCATTTTTGAACTGTAGTCGTGGGAGTAAGAATACACAGAAAAATACAGAATAATAATAATAATAAATAAAGAATATAAACAAATATAAAAAATATAGTGAAAAGTATAGAAAATGCCTATTGCCATGAATTGCTTTTTTAAATTTTGCTTAAAAAAAATCAACTTTTTAACCATTCAGTTCATATAACAGAACTGGATAATTTTATCTTGATGGAATTTTTATAAAAAATCGCGCTATTTAAATATTTAATGTTAACACCTAAAAAAATAACGAATCGCACTTTAGAACGATTTTGCTGAAATATCTAAAAACTGAATGAGAGATATATATCTGAAAATAATTTATTAAACCATCAATATAATTACGCAGGATGTTCAAGCATGATGAATAATCTTGCAAAAAGTTTTAATATTTTATAATCAAATGGAGCATCCTGTATAATTATTTTGATGGTCCAACCAAATTATTTTTAGATCTGTATCCAACTATATTTTTAGATATTTTAGTAAAATTATTTTTACCATGTTAATAACACTTTAGAGTATAAGACTTTATAGAGTATGAAAAGTGATTTTTTCATATAACTAATTGCCAGGGGCTCGGCTAACCTTTTATTTTTTTAAAGAACTACTATATGTTTATAATTAGATACCTATAGAATAAATGCTATGTATGAATTTAAGTATAAACAAGTCTAAGACAGGAGTACAGTATTGTTTAATAAACCCGTTGCAAAGGTCAATTTTATGCACGATCTCGTATAAGAATTACAGCAACACTACCCAGATGTCGGGCCAGCGATCGGCTTTGAGACCCCCAACGATCATTATAGCAATAGTATTTGTGGTCCACCTTGCACGCTCTCGGTATTCACGAAGGCACCACCCTAATTACCGCGTCGGCACACGCTACCACCGTCATTTCTATCGCTGGATTACCATTCGTGCCCGATTTCCAAAGGTGTCGTATGACGTTGGCGCGATGGAGGGGAAAAAAAAAAAGGAAAATACGTTCGACGAAATTCGACACGGAGGTGTGCGACAAACGTCACTCTTGCTCAGACCCGTGTTCGTTTCGCGCGTCTCTGAGTTGAGAGCGGTGCAGAAGAGCAGTTTGTTGCGGAGAGCATCTGTCCACGCCATATGCAGGCTCGAGTTGCCGACTCGGCATTTTATCGAGGACCGTGATATTATTTTCCATCCGTATGATTGAGAGCCGGACATGCGGCGCCGTGTATATTGCTACTGTAATTTGTACGTTGAACGAGTTGCCCAATAACGCGCTAACAAAAAATATACGCACGGACGTTACGGATTGCGAGTTAAAGTTAAGTGTTTTCTTTCAACGTTGACTTTATTTAAAATCTGACGAAGTCTCGACAGTTTACGGGGGGATTCAAGTGATTAGAGATAACTAGTGTTTCTCATGAATTTAATTTTTAGATATGATAAACAGAAGGGCACGAGATGTTGTCTAAATTTAACATTAAATTAATTCTATCTTGGAATTTTTATAAAAAATTGCGTGGCTATTTAGATATTTAATGTTAACAATCAAGAATTTAAAATATTGAAAGGAATCAAACTTGATATACCTACTTTAGGGTATAAAAGTATTTCAGTCGTATAACTGCTTGCCATACGAGGGCGGCTTTGAGAACGTTCTACCCTCCCGCGATCAAATGCACGTTATCGATTATCCCAAACATCGCACCCCTTCGATTTCTTTCTACAGATAGGGTGGGTATCTTCGATTTTAATGAAATCTCAGAACGTTATACTCCCGATTTCCTGCGATATTGAGTTAGGTTGCGGAATAACGCACTTTTCCACCGTTTACATAACGATTATTTATTGTTTTCCTTCCATTCGGAAACTAACGCAGATATATTATGTCACTTGCACAAGTGATTGAAGGTTTAATTCTGAGAAATTAACTTGCAAGAGGATATTGAGAAAAGGTTACTTAACAGCTAACAAAAAATGTGCACATCTCAAACAGAGGTGTAAATAAGCCGCGCGAATTCTTAATGGCCATTTTCACTTACAATAATTCTTTAATAATGCATGAAGTCAATAATAATTAATCACCCTGAACGAGGGTCGCCAGCCGGATTACAAAAAAGTGAAAAAAATCTGCTATCATTACAC